GTGTCCACAGAGCCAGATCCTCATCAGTCTCAAGGCATGGGCCAGACTGTAGTTGTTAAAAACTTTTAAAATGTTGTGTTTCTTATTTAAATTATATATTTAACTCTGAACTTATTTACTTTGAAATTTCTGTGTAATGTTTTGTATAAAAAGGCTAGGTTAGGATAAAACTTGGTCGAGAACTGATTAGTCCGTTTTCGGTTATTTCTTATGGGAAACATTGATTCGGAAGTCGACTGCATTGCCTCTCCATGCTCTTTCTAGAACAGATTAGCGTCAAGGTCCGGGGTTCTACTGTATTCTGCTAGGGAACGAGGCATCTCTGGGTTCGAAGAACCACCGTGCCCACAATGAAGAGGATCAGAGCCGCAGGCACCGGGAAAGGGCGCTGACGACAGGGCTTCTCACTCAAAGGCGTGTTGTTCCCTGTTTGATGTGTCTGATTTGTCATGGGCTTCCTGGCAGGAAAGGTTGCTGAACAAGCACACAGGGGAAACTCCCCAGGGGCAGCCACGGCCCTTTGGGAAGGTGGTCGGACTCTATTGAGCACATTTTGGGGTGTCCTTTGACCCCAGCCCATTCACATCTAGGTGTCTGTTTGCTATGTGAACAAGGATTTTAACCATAGCATCATGCAAAAGTAGAACCCACCTAAATGCCCAGCAACAGGGGAATGACTGGCTAAGCGGGACACACGGATCCGGGAAGCCACTTCTAAGAATGAAGTTGATCTTTATATACTGACTTAACAAGAGGTCCGTTAAACAGCATTAAGAGTGGGGGAGGTAGCAGAATATACATGATATCATTATTTTTTTTTTTGCAAAAGTCTATTAAAGAAATATCTGTGGACATATAATTTCTTTGTGTGTTTGTGTGTATACACATAAAATGTATTTCTAATAAGCCCACAAAGTGGGGGACTGTCATTACAGCCACTTCCTGGACATGGGCACTGCTGCACCATAGCTTCTCTGAGGTCCCAGAGTTCTAGGCGGAAGAGCTGGAATTTGAAGGCAGGTAGGCTGGAGCCACGCTGGATCCTCCAACCACCGGGCATTCCCGGTTGTACATGCACCTGGTGGCCTCCGCACGACAGGCCTGATGGGACACACGTCACCTTGGTGACAGGTATAAGCTCTGGGGACTGACTGCTGCTGAACAGGTGAGGCTTTCGACTTTTCACCCTTCACATAATTGAACGATACACTTTTGGAATGGAGAATAAAAATGCTTCTAAACAAAGAAAGAAGGCCACCACGGAGCTTGCTCCTCCCTCGTGCCCGCTCACCTCTGGGCTGTTGGAGACCATATCTGCGTGGATCGGCTCCATCTGCACCGAGATGTCACACATCTGGGCCTTATCCTGGGGCTTCTGGTTCTTCTCCAGGCTCAGCTGCAGTTTGTGCTTCTCTTGGGACGTCCTAGGGCAGAGAGGAGGGGGCAGCGGGCAGTGGGCTGCCAACAGCACAAGCTGCCCAGCCACAGGTGCCCACTGGCAAAACCAGAAAGGGGAGCTCGCTTCCTTAAGGAACTGCATTTCAATCTTGGAGTCCTCTGCACCAGATTTCTAGAGAATCTGATCTCGGGGGACCTAGAGGATATCAAGGGGCACTGGTGGCTCAGTGGCCCAAGCAAGCCCTTGGCTGCTGACTGAAAGGTTGGTGGTTCCAAACCACCCAGCTTCTGGGAGAAAGACCTAGTAGTCGGCTTCCACAAAGATCACCGCTTAGGAAAGCCTGCAGGGCAGTTCTGTTCTGCCCCACAGGCTGGCTCCGGCCTGTCCCCAACAACCATAGTGAGGACTGGCCAGAGCCGTCAGCACCAGCCCTTGGGGTGTTGGCGGGGCATTGGCTGCGTATCTACCATTTCTAACTCTTTATGGACGGCGAATCTGCTAGCTCTGAGAGACGCGCACGGTTTGGGAATGGGGAGTCCGGCTTTGTGCCCAGGCTGTCTGGATCTGCAGCCTGTTCTTTTCACCAAGCCGGGAAGCTGCCGTGGCTGCAGCCAGGAGGCCCAGGGAGTATCTACCGAAACGTCACACTCCTCAGACATTCCTTGACAAAATGGACAAGAATGCAAAAGCATTTGGTCCTTCTTAGCGAGGGCCTGTGAGACAGCAAGGGCGTCATTTCGCGTTTGAAGCTGACTTGGGACACGCCTGGTTTGTTCATTTCGGTGACTAGATGGCTCATTTTCAGCGGCTACCAGTTATGTTGCCTTCCTGTCCCAGTGCCTGGGCGTCTATCGTTGGTGGAGCCAACACAGACCCTGTCCTCTTGTGGGAGGCAGGCAGTGGAAGAGCCATTAACCACACTGCTGTGTGATGAGTGTTAGGTCCGGTGGGAGGACAGGGTCTGAGGGACCCCCCAGGCTGAGCAGGAGCCCTTGACCACGTGGTTGAGCATGGACAAGGCAGCCCTTCGTTAAGAAAGTGGCATTTGCCCTGGGACCTGCCCTCAGGAATCTTGAGCAGGAGTGTTCGAGAAAACACAGAACTGAGCAAAGTCTCGTGTTCCTGGCTGAAGCTGGGAAGCACTGAAACACGACAGGTTCCCGGCTCTTCGCTTGCCTAACCTCCGTGTAAGGCCCTCGGGCGCCCACACACCTCAGTGCCTCCTGGAGGGTCTCCAGCTCCCGGTCCTTCTTTTCCACCAGGCTGGTCATCTGCCCCATCTGCTCCTTGAGCATGCTCAGCTCGCTGCTCTGCCGCTGGACCAGCAGCACGTTCCGCTCCAGCTCCATCTTCTGCTTCTCGCTGAGCTCCCCTGGCAGTGACAGGAAGCCGTGAGGGGGTCTCCTCCTGGGACCCCAGCAGAGCTACCATGCTTGTGAGAACTACAAGGCGGGCTCACCCTCCAGAACTTCTCAGGGCTTTACTAACACCTGCCAGGAGTCCTGGGGGCCCCAGAGGTTAGCCGGTGGGTTGCTAACTAAAAGTCAGCTATTAGCTACCACCAGCCAAGAAAGACGGGCCTTTCTACTGCTGTAAAGTTACAGCCCCCGACACGCACCAGGGCAGTTCCACCTGGTCCTGTAGGGTTGCTTTGAGTTGGCATCGACTCGATGGCAGTGAGCTTGGATTTTTGGTTTTAAGAGCAGCCAGGAGAAAGGCGATGCCGTCTGCTCCTTTTACAAGTTACAGCCTCAGACACCCACTGGGGCAGTGCTACCCTGTCCTGTAAGGTCGCCATGCGTCAGAACGGACTCAACGGTAGTGCGTTTGGTTTTGGTTTTACTAACAGCTGGGAGATCTGCTTATACCTTCGAGGACTCTAGCAATGTTGTCACAACAGTGGCCGCTCCCTTGGAGGGACTGTGCACTTTTGCCTCACATGCTAGAATTGTCCATGTCCCAGCCCAAGTCCCTCGGGGGGCTCTTAGGACTCTTCGGGCCTCGGCAGCCTGCTCTGTGTCTGCCAGGGGCAGCCACCTCTAGCCAGTGGCTGATGGAAATGGCCTGTACATCGCCAGCTCCCGCCCCCAACATGGGACATCTGGGAGGCATATGTCCTACACACCTTCTAACAGCACTTCCCAGTAGAGTGAAGCGCTGGTAGCTCACCACGGCAACCTGGCTGATAACACACCCTTTTTTAAAAATCGTTTTATTAGGGGCTCATACGACTCTTATCACAATCCATACATACATCAATTGTGTAAAGCACATTTATACATTCATTGCCCTCGTCATTCTCAAAACATCAGGTCCTCATTTT